GTCAACGTAGTTCAAGGGCGTCACCAGGAAGCCTCGAGTGATGGGATCAGAATATCCAAGCCAGGGACGGGAGCTCAACCCTATTACGCAGGTACGTCCTTGAACGGTGGCTTGGAATAGCCGCACTGGCTTGGGACCGAGGAATTTCTGCCTCGTATCCGTAAGCTCTCCAGTGATTTCGTCCAAAACTGTACGGAGATAGACACCGGAGTGCAGACCGATGTGGAGGTAGAGTGTTGAGCCTCCGGACGAGGAGTCATCCATGGCTATGATTGCAAGGGATGATGGAGGGGCTGTCAAGGCTTGGACTGACTTGCTCTCCAGAGTTGACTCGGGGTCTAACGACAAGACACGCACAGTGCTGTCATCGCATCCCACAGCCAGAAACGAACTTCGCAGGCGGCCCTCGGGGATTTCACCCAAGCTCAAACATGTGACAGTTCCGAACATTTCCTTCTTCTCATCGTACTCGGCTAGGGATCCGTCACCATCCATCTCGAAATAGACAATCTCACCCGAGCTGAGTGCAACTGCAACCTGATGCTCGTTGGTAGTTGCCGCGACGATGGACCTGTGCTGCGGTGCAGCCCACTCGTTGACTTGGCCGTGCCGAATGTGACGAATGCCCTTGGGATGGACCTGAATGAGGCCGTCTTCGCCCAGCAACTGTGCCGCCAATGTAGGCACAGATGTCAGGAAACCGGAATCGCTGACCTCCTCGACCGTTTCGCCGATGCTCAGAACAAGAGTTCCGTTGGTGAAAGACAGTACAATGTACGCATCGTATTGGTCGCCGCGGCTAAGCTTGAGAGTCCAAACCGCCGAAGGAATGCCAGGCAGTTCGGATGCCACAATCTCGTTGACTTCCAAGCCATGCTTCAACATCCTGAATGTGCTACGAGCACCGTTGCCGCAGGCTGTGTAGATTTGTGGCGCATCTTCACCAGTCAAGTTGGCCACCTTGCAGTCGAGCAGGGGATTCATGGAGTCGATGCTCTCGACAAGAGCAAGATTCTCCAGCGGTCTGGGATGGAAGTAGACCGCTTCGTAACCAGCCCTTGGATCTGTTGGGAAGTCGTCGCTTGAGAATTCGAGTTCCTCATCGTCATCTCCCAGCTTCTCGAACTGGTAAAATTGGTGGTTACCAAACTGGCTGGCAGCGTACAGGAAACCGCTCTTGAGGATGCAGAGGCTAGATGATACCGGTGCTGTGTCGAAGTACTTGATCTTGAGTCTCTTCACCTCGCCAGTGGGGTTACCATCTGCATCCTCAACCATATCGAGGGTGGCCTTGAACAGATCACCATCCTCAGTCTGCAAGAGGAAGAAGAAGGCGCCAGCGCTGCCTTTCAGCTTGTGCATGACGCCAGATACCACGTGGCGCTTCCTGGAAGGGTCTTCCGTCGCACCTCGTCGGCGCGGGATTGGTACGCGGAAGGCTTCTTGGTTGGAGTGCCTGTACGTGATGTTTTCCTCTCCACAGACCAAGACTCCACTGGGACCATCTTGACCACCTGGAACTTGGAACAGGAGTGAAGCCGTGGGATCGACTGGTTCGGACCACTTCCGGACGACGTGGTTTAGTCCCAGGTCCAACTCGTAGTACACCAGCTGAGTTTCTGCTTCTCGAGCTGCCTCTCCGGTAGGATCTTGGTCTGCCTCAGTGTACTCAATCTCGAGCGCAGCGAAGACCGGGTTGGCATAGCCGACGTCCAAAGCGACCATGCACAACACCAGGACTCCGGGCTTGTGTGCCTCGAGAGGCGAAGAGATCGTGAGCTCGGCCTGCGAATTGCGGTTGAGGACGTATACGAGCTTGTTCTTCTCGACTGAGGCGATCATACATGCTCTGCCTTTCGGATCGCATGCAAGATATTCTCCAGGTATGACACGTCGTACCCCAGACTTGCCAAAAGTCTCTAGATGCAGACGCTGAAATCGATTCTGCGCGGGAATGTACTCGATGATTGTGATCCTTCCAGAGTCAGTCGCAAGGATGAGGTAGTCTTGACACAAGGTCAGCAAAGTCCTTTGACAATCACGTCTCGCATCCGAGGCCGAGCGACATTGACTGCACTGACGCCTGTCGCGACCGGCAAGCTTCTCAAATCACTAAGTGAAGCTTTAAATGGAACATGGGACACGAGACATACCTTTATTGCTTCCAGCCAAGCGGAAGGCGGCCATGGAACGGATGATGCCGAAAATGTCATGCGAGAGCAAGGTAATGACTTTGCCCTGTGACGGATCCGGGCGAAGCAAAGTCAATCGCGATCCTGACGCCGTCACAATGTTCTGCTCCTTGGTGCCTGAGAACTGACCCAACACCGCCTGCGTGACATTGGTAGGCGATTGAAGGGTCAGGGAATAGAGAAACATGTTCGAAGTCGTCGCCATGTTTGCAGGTGAGCGCAGATAGCCTGCGCGGCCTCAAATTTCGAGCTCGAATGGATGGGCGGTGCACGAGACGCGGTGGTGTTTTTGGAGTGATGGTGGGTTGGGAGGCTGGAAAGCTCCAGCACAAAATTTCAGAAGCTCCAGGTTCCCACTTGGCGCCTTAGACCCGCGTGGTGGGGACTTGCGGCGTCGGCATCTTGTTGATCCGAGCTCCCCGAAATTTCGGGTCGGCCCCGTCGTCGACAGCGAAAGCTCCCTGGAAGCTTGTGGGAGACGGAGTGTTCTGGATGTCAACGCAGGCCGCAACTGGACTTACGTACAACACCAGGCGACATGGAGCCGGCTTTTAGAAGAGCAGCGTCAAGCGCTTGCGGACAATGCTCTGCAGCACTGAGGAGGCAATTAATTGCCAACGGAGTTCCCAGAATCACCCCTCGCATCGCATCAGCCCACTCGACCCGAAGCCTCCATTCCACCGTTTCTAGAAGTTCGAAGGCCAACAATGTGCCCACAAGACAATTCTCCTCGTCCCCGAAAGCTTCGAGCGAGGCGGCAGCCGTGAAGCCCGCTACCACCGAATCGTCGACCCCCAAACTCCGATCAGACGACCTGTTTCACTCTTTCACGAATTCGCCCATCCCAGAGATTCGACGCCGTGCGGCTTTCATGCGCCAGCATGCTTACTGTTCTCACCCCGATCATCGCGCGACAAGAGTCCCGACTGTAGCACCCCACGGCGAGGAAAAACAATCGCAGACGGGTCAGCTTGCGCCGGCGCACGTCGATTTCGAGTGCCCCGATTGCGGAGTCCCCGTTTCCTGTAGCAAGGAGCACTGGATGGACGATTATGAGGCTCATCTCGAGATCTGCGACACTTTGAGGGAGATCAACGAGGACGACCATGACCTGCGATCCGGCCGTACGTTCCCGGAGTTCGTTATGGCGGATGATCAGATGCCCGAGGCGGTCGTCAACATGACCAACTGGGACACCTTCATGTACAGCCGCGAGTTTGAGGCCATTAACGACGAACGCAGCATGCGGCAGGTCACGAAGATGCTCACCTACCCCATCACAATCGGCAGTGTCTTGCATGAGTTGAGCCCTTATAGCATCAAGCAGGGGGAGAGGTTGACCAGCGAGGGTTTGAAGAGTTTGAGTGGTAAGTTGCGTTCGTGGGTTTGAGAGAGTGACGAACTGACAAGAAGGTAGCTTTGCGGTATACCCTTCATCCTCCTCTCACTGGAAAGGGTACTTCAATGAAGGAACTCCGTCCTGAGGCTCCTCCCGTAAGAGTCTTCTGCTTGGGAGCCCGCGCCGAATCATCGCTGCCCAGAAATGTCTGGCTTCAGCTTGCTCATCTGTTCCCAGAGAGCAAGATTCACCTGATTTTTATCGGGCCCGAAAGCATGGCTAACCGAGACGACGAGTTCCCTCTGCCGCAGCGGACGCCCGAGAACCCGTTTGGCATGGTGATCGAAGACCGGATATCGCACAAGATGAAGATCAGCACCATCGTCGACTACTACCACACCATCCACAAGACCGGATACTTTGCGCCTTACGACCCGTACTTTGACTGCTTCTGTCTCTTCCATCCCGGTTTGGGCCATCCCGCAAGCAGCCACGAGTGGACCGAGACGCTTCCTATGCTTCTGGAGACCAAGGTTCCTATCATTGCTACAGGTTATACCCAGTTTGACATGGAGAGAGATATCGAATGGGTTAGAAAGACCGCTGCCGGCGAGTTCGACGTTCTGTTGGAGCCTGGCGAAAACCTTTTCCGCAGCTTGAGATGGGATTTGAATGATCTGGATCCCCAGGACGTCAGCTGTGGAAATTGGGGAGTGTGGGCGTTCCGTGGAAAGAGGTATGTACTGCTCATCACCAATTAGTGTGATCTGACGCTAACAATGAGAACCTAGATATGAGACGACTAAGAAGGATGATGAGTAGGTGCTCGTCCTGTTGCTGATAAATTAAAATGGGAATTATGTTGGACCACTTGTAGAGGTTCTGTAAATAAGTGTATCATACTCACCTGCATGTGCATTGTATAACACAAAAGGAGAGAGAAAAATCAAGACCAAGTCGACTCTGTAACAACCTTGCTGCATAATGTGTCGTGCCTCCTCTCCGTGATTGTCTATGTCGAGACTTGTATTTCCTGCGCTAAAGCTATTTCCTATGACATAAAATGATCAGAGAGCCGAAGGTAGTTGCGGTAGAAGACAAGTATGCTTCGGATTGATCAGACTTCATTCAATATGCATGTACCACTCAATGATGCTGCTGCGCTGTGCCAAGATGAGCCAAATCTAGACGTACTCTGTTGTGCCAACCTTGCGCCAAAGGTAAGGCAGTCTGACTCGCATTAGCAAGGTAAGACAAGCGCATGCGTTGTCAAGTGTTCCGGCAGGCCGGGTCCGGTGGCCGGGGCAAGTGCCGGGTTGTCCTCTGCAGATGCGGGCCACTCCGGCAGGTGCCTCCTAAATGGAAGGGACCTGAGGCAAGGTACCTTATGTAAGGCGCTCGCCCTGGGGGTCCTAGCGGGCTGCAGCGCACAGGGCCACCGCCGTTGAGCCGCTAAACGCACCTGTACCGGGAGACAAGCCCTTCCTTGTAACCGACCAGCACCGGGGGGCAGGTCCCCAGTTTCCGCCCGCCGTCACTCAACCACCTCACAGATCAGCGTCGTCCGAAATCTTGCTGGCTGCAAGTCAAACTTGACGACAGCTCATTCTCGACTCTTGACTATCGCCGCCAAAAGGACACACGCGCCCGACTTCCGTGCTTCGTACCATGAGAGTGCGGTCGCGCCAACGATAGACGGCCATGGCAGCTGTCGCTACCCCTCGCGCTCCGACGCCGCGACCGAAAGCCCCCGCGACTGTCAGCTTCTTGAACGACCCGGCCGCGGCCGTTTCTACACCTTTGGCTACTCCCGGCGCCGAACGAACCCGCCCTCCGCTACAGACCAATCCTTCCGCTCGCCGATCCGCTCGACCTACCTCTACAGACTACCTTTCCGACAAAGCGACCGCCGCCTTCATCCGCCGTATCCTGTACTCCAAGCACCTGGCCGAAAGGGGGAGAGCAACCCCGTCCCCGATCGAGGAACTGCTACCGCCCCTGACCAGCCGAAACGATGTCGATCTCCAGCTTTACGCACTCATATCTGTGATATTGAGGGAATACGTACAGGTGTGGTATAGCAAGATCACTCCCGATGACACCTTTGTGGACGAAATCGTCCAAATAATCGCCCATTGCACGAGGGCTCTAGAACAGAGACTGCGAAAGGTCGACCTTGAAAGCCTCTTATTTGACGAGCTGCCTGACTTACTGGACAGACATATCCTTGGTGGGTCTCAGGCACGCAAGCTCTTAGGCCATTCTTTCACTGACGTCCACTCCATAGCCTACCGCGCGGCGCATGATCCTGTGTCTCGATCTCCAACCGAAATAGACCCACGAGAAGTCTATCACTCGCTATTCTCCTTGGCTCCTTTGACGCCCATACCTCGCCCCGAAGACCCCTTATCTATTGCAGGCCAGCAAGAGAATGAGTCGCTTTATCGTCAGCTGTTGGTACAGGGTGTTCTGGCTGTTCTCCTACCAACCGAGGACCTCGAAAACGGCTGCCTGACCTCCCTGGTTGGCCAAATCTTCTCCGAGCTCATCATTGGCAACGTCCTCGCCAATCGAATTTCGCAGCCATGGCTCATTTACGAAATCCTCATTATTCTCACTAGAGTTCTCGACAGGAAAGCATCAGAGCCTATCGAAGAGGGAGTGGCGGAGGCGTTGCAAGGCGGATCAACATCCGCGCTCCCCAGGCCTGCTCGTCGCAGTTGGTCCGTCCAGGGCGCATTCTGGTCGCTCGTGCAATGGTCATTCCTCGCTTTCACAACTATCCGCTTCCTCGTCATCACTCTCGCAATGTCTTCATCCCTGCCACCAAGGTCTGACGGCGAGCTGAATGAAAAGGACCAAGTGACTGGTCAAATATCGCATTCAAAGACGCTGAATCACACAGCTAGCTCGAATGAAGTGCAGCCTGTCAAAACGCCGATTGCTGCCTTTAAGCTGTGGAGTTGCGTAGCAGATTTGATCGAAATGGACTCCCGCATGCCTTGGTTGAGTGGAATAATGTCACTTTTCCAGCTCGGCGCAATGAGCGGCCCAGGACGTGTTGCTGGTCTCAATGGAGCCATGGACAGGTAGGCAACCATCACTTTGTTTCTCCCTCTCATTCTCTACCAATCTCACGTCACACCGCATGAGGTTCAAGTCACTGGATCTCAACCAGCTCCAGTGAGCAATCAGTAGCGTCCCGTCAGGCGAGTGAGTAGGACGGGATGGCTCTTCCCACGACAGTCTAGTGGGCTGCATTGTGGATGGACTTGTCGATGAGTTGATACGGGCTATGGGAACACACCTTGGGGTGCACGCAGAGATGGGGGTTGAGTCTCTTGCAGGACTGCGCGAAAAAGCCGAAATATGCTGTGTGACACTCACACCCGGCCCATTCTGCGAACCAACCCTGACTTGACCTCGTTCCCCCGGTTCCTCGAAACATGCGGTTACATCCCAAGGACCTCGTGGCTTCCGACCAATCGCAGCCGGTGTCAACGTTACTCGCCTCCGATTTGCTTGATAGGCCCTCGCGGGGCTGCGCTTCCATCCACCGGCAAGCCTCATTTACGCGCCCAAGTCCAACAGTGAGCATCACTTTACAGGGGGTCATTTCCATCACCGTCATCTCCTTTGCCCAGCGCACGCCTACGGAAATACGACGTTTGGTCACCCACGGAAAGCTGTCAGTCTTTCTCGCTTCTTGACGCCCCGCTATGAGGTCGGTGGTGAAAGTGGCCGCGCATGTTGGGACTCAAACCCTACCGAAGCAGCCGCCCCTTCCACGATCTACCCTACCTGAGGTCATGCTGGGGCTGATCGCAAGCTTCCGTTCCTGACCGCCAGCCGATGCAAACAATCAGGTCGGAACGGTCCAGGCCATGGGCAGTCACTCAATCCGTCCCGAAAAACGGGCTGGCAGCCCCCCGCCCAGCGGCTAATTGCCTGCCCTCCATGGCTCGATGCGAAGCTTGGCCGGACTCGAGCTTGGGAGCTAAGCTGTAAGCCGGCTGGCATTTCTGGGTTTCTGCATAGTGGATGGGTTGCTCCTACACACCACCGTGGGCCGCAAACGAAGGCAACGTACCTCAATATTGAGACCAATATCATTCATACGCCTTCAACTCCAGGACTACGTTCGAGCCTTTCAGACTGCCTACATCGCCAGTAAACGGTCTCAGATTACAGATTCACCAGCTCGTCAATCCAGGAAGCCATTGAGCCATCTCTACGGTTGATCAAACAAAGACAACAACATCAATCGCAATCTCGTCATCGGGGGGCGCTCTGATATCCCTGTTCTCACCCTCGTGTTACTTTTGCCTAGCCGTCCCCATTCCTTTTCTGACATACCCCCCTTCTCTCACTTCCCCTCCCGCAGATCGTTGCTTCCCTTTGTCGGTTCACACAAAAGCCCCTGCAACCCCCCACACACTTGACCGTCGTGACTGTCCGAGTCGGAAGCATACCCGGGAAGAAAGCTGACATAGAGCGCTTGCCGCGTCGAAATACAGGCTCATTTCGCACACCATTCACCAACGCCTCCTCGACGCCGCATACCTGCCAACCGTCCTCCGCTCCATCCGCGCCGCTCTCTTTCCCAACAACGCCCCCGGCGTCTCGACCTTGGTGGCCCCATCATCCGACGAGGACCTGCGTGCCTTGCGCCGCAGGTGCGCTAGCGCCATGCTGGCCCAAATCCCGCCCTGGTTGGCTGGTCTGTATCTAGGCGGGCGAGGGCTTGGCTTCCGGTGGCGGTCCGGACCGGAGTCGAAGCCTGGTGCTGACGCTACTGCGTCTATGAGCGAGAGCGAGGCCGGTGTTCCGAGCAAGGATGGAGCTCATAACGGTGACGAAACTAATGATGTAGGTAATGGCAGCAAAGAGGACGAAGACGAGGATCAGCAGCGAATGCTGTCCGAGATCGAAGAGGGCATACTGGACATCTTTTCCGACGAGTACTGCAACAAGCACCTCGTGTACAGCATACTGGAGCTGATCTTGGTGAGGTTGATGCCGGAGCTGGCGGAGAAGGGCGTCGTCGAGCTTTGGGAAGAGCGTCTTAGCCTGTGACGGATTTATCATGAACGAGTCCTATGCCTTTCTGTGTGTTTAAGATACCCTTGTTAGCCCGAGAAACGTATTTTTTCATTTCATATGATGGGAATAAGAGGCCTGGTACATATTTCCAAGCGATGTTTCCCATGAGAATTCGCATATTGTGCACAAGATGAAATAGTCACGCGCGCATTCTTGATGAGGAGGCAAAAGGCAATTGAGTTTGAGTGTTCGTATATTCGCAGACGGGTCGGGAGGGGTTGAAGAGGGGAGAGAATGAAGGAAAAAAAAAGGGGCATATCCCTAGGAAATCAAATGCAAAAGGGGCCGCCCTTTTTTTCTCGGTTTTTTCCACGCAAACCCTCTGGCCGGGGCTAGACATGTTGCATCGTGCCTTTGGCCCATCGTTCCTTGAACCTCCCTCTCTCTGCCCTGCGTCTCTTCTCGATCGCTTGCCTTGCTTCGTTACCAGCTCGTTGATCAATTACGATAACCCGCGCGTGGCCCATAGCCTTGCCCCCCACCCCCTTTCCGTGACAACCGTCCCTTGTAGATACCGTGCCTGGCTGACCGGCCATCAACCAACCGGAAACCGTCCCTTACTTCCTATCCTTGTTGCCTCACAGATGCAGAGAGTGTGAAAGAGAAGACTAGGATAATACAGTACTGAAATGGTGGAATGATTGAAAATTTCGCGCTCGGGGAAGCTATGAAGAGAAATGGACATGAAGCGAAACAAAAATAGAATAAGGAAAAGATGGCTATAGAAAACCAGGCTTGAATCGATGTGGCGCGTGGGGAATTTTGCGGTGTTTCGCGTGAGCGGAAAGGTCTTCCCTCGAGGGGAGCGTGAGCGTTGATAAGAATGGGGTATATGAATGTCTCGACTGAAGTTTCGAGTGGGAGGATGATAATGATGCTGTTGTTCCAAGTAGTAGAGAAAAAGTCTCCGCGCCGTCGTCTCTAGCCAGTGTCCACCCCGGTCCTGTATTGATAAGTTATAATTACTGACCCCTATTTCCAAATGTCGTGAGACTATGAACCGGTGGTGGGAACACACAAGCGTCTGAGATTGTTGTCGCAGAGTCTGAAGCCTCAAGGTCCAATCGAGAGAAGCCAAGGGGCTGTCGTGAGACATTGACCGTGTATTCCTGGGGTTTTGTATTCCCCATGATAGGTATCGCCATTGTGAAGTAGGTTTTGTTTTTCCAAAAATCGAAAATCCGGTCCCGGCGAGGTGGATGTGCTCTTTGCAGAACTCTCGTCGGGTCTAGAGATCGGCGTGACCAAAATAATGGTTGTTGTCCTGTTGTAGATGCCCGCGCATACCGTGCGGGGGATGGCCTGTTTCCAAATCCAGTCCAGAATCAAAGCAAACAAACAAACAAACGCCTTGAAGAATGACGAAGAACATTCTTGCTGAAAAAGGAGAATTGTACGCGATCTGATAGGGCTTTGCTTTGCAAAGTAATTTGTTGAAGCGTCGAGCCGGGTGTTCATTGAGTTACGACGGGCTCGGATTTGATCCCCAGCGACATCGAGTGAACGTGTTGCGGTGTCATTTCGGTGTCTCCTTCGGGTATACGGTCCAAAATGCCTAGCGACTGGGGTGCTCCGGATTTCGCAAGCTGATGCTGTTGTAGGCGCAATTTCTCCGTCAACCTGACCATCACCACATACTCCGTTTGGTCCAACAAGGCACCTCCATTGGTGCTTTGGATGTAACTCAGCAAAGTGTCTGCAGCCTTTCGGGCATCCTCTTGTGTCGGTGATGTCGGGGATGACCCAGCTGGAGTTGTGGCTGATCGGCCAGCCATGCTACTGTTGCTACTACTGTGGTGCAGGTGCGGCGACGAAGTAATGGCAGTGTCTAAGCCAAAGTGGGGTGCTGCCATTTCATGAATCGGTGATTCCAATGCAGAAGAAGGTGCTGTGGACGCCGGGTGATACTTGGGAGTCATGGGCTCTGTTGATGCGGCCTGGTTCATATACTCCAGGTCGAGAGTGGGAAACGTTTGGCTCCTTGGTCTCTGGAAGTTTGAAGCGACCCCTCCATGCAGTTGGCGAGATGTATCGTTGGGGAGAAATTGGCCAGCGTTGGGGTCAGGGGAGAACGTAAATGTAGCCGTGGGACTCATCGCGCTTCCCGAGAAGGACGAATTCCCTGCGTCGGTCAACGCGCTATTGAGGGACGTAGCGCTTTGCGAGTTTGTGTGCTTGTAGGCGCCGCCATCACCATATCCAACGAAGCCGAGACCGTGGACAGCGTCCTCATCACTCCTGTCGGCCGAGAGTGGAGATGGATGTCCAGTCGGCGACGCCGGTGAGATGCCAGATGCCCCAAGAGATGGAGAACCAGATAGTTTCGCGTGGTCTGTGATGTTCGTTTCCGATGCTCTTCGCAAGAGCTTTCCTGATACCAGAATGTTCCTCTGCTTGAATCTCTCCAACCAAGTAGTGTTGATAGATTTCATCTGGCTGGCTTCAGGTCCGCCGTTGGTGGTCCGAGAGAAGTGCTTTGCTTGATCGAGAATCTCGTCGTCGCTGGGTGTTAACCCGGCTTGTTGCTGTCTCCTGACCCATGCCGCAACGGCCCGATCAATGTCCGGGAACTTCCCCTTGGTGTGCCGCCTGCCAGCGGGAGACTGACTCCTGTCCGCCTCTGGGTTCAGGTACTTCTCCTTGTTGCGTAGAACTTTGGATACGGTGCTGAGATGTCAAGGTTAGAACTTCAACGCACTCTTCTTGCTCATGCTTAGACCCACCTTCGTTCAACACCAAACATGGCACCGATATCCGTCTGCTTCACATTGGGGTGCTCAGCAGCATACTGACACATTTTCTTCCGGTCGTCGTCGGTCAAGACCCTTCGCTGTTGCGGCTGCGGGCCATTTGTCAGCCGTGTAGGCCTTGAAGGGGCTGGGGCGACGACGGGTGCCATTCCTAAGGGAGGTGCCGAATAGCTGTTGGGATTGGTCAACATGCTGGGCCACGTTGGCTGAGAGGGGATCATGAGCATCGGTAGCTGGGCATGAGATTGTTGTTGATGAGACTGCATCGGCTGCACAGGAGCTGGCGGAGGAGGCATTCTGCCGATTGATTCAGACGGCAATCCATGGGTGACTGCTGGCAGGAAAGCGAAGCCTCCAAAATCCGACATGCTGTTCTGATGGCCGTATGGGCTCATGTCTCCCCAACTCTCGGCGCCAAAGGCTGTGTGGTTGTGACCCATATGGGTGTCTTCGTCCTGGGTTAGGTGGTTGTCTTGGTCCATGGTGGCAGTCCCCACGATGGAGCTGTTCATTGCTTATATAACTATTAGACGTGCGTTCGATCCCAAGATTTCAACTCGGCAATGCTCAAAACGAGACTGTCTGTCTGGCCTGTTGTCGTAAAGTCCAGGTTCCAGGTTGGTGATTGCGAGGAGGGGGTCGCGCCGACGGCTTCGCCTTGACTGATGGGATGACACTCGGGCCAAGGGTGGGGATTGCTGGTCCCGACAGATGTTGGTGGGTTTGGCTTCAAGAACAGAAGACACCATGCATGACAGAGGTGGCCAATTGGTTCCTGAAGGCACGCCGTGCAGGCGGTCTGCTTTGTAGGTCAAGAAGCCCTGGGCCTCTCAGGGTGACTCGATGCAAGTGCGTTGCAGGCTGCAGAGAGGTGTCGGGGGCAAGGTCGTCCACGAGTTGGACTGACCAGCTAGCCGTATGTCTCTCCGTGGGTTTCTTAAACGAGAAGTGCCGGTCTGGCGTGCGGGTTCTGGAGTTGGAGTTTGAGGACTGCGTGCTTAAACTGCGGGTGCAACACCAACAGTCGTTTCTTGTCGCGGCAACCACCAGGTTGGTCCTTTGCCGTATCAGGAACCCTCGACTAGTCCACTGAGTCTGTTCTAGGGGGTTTCCTAACCGTATCGCGGTTTGAAATCACCTAGATTAACCGGGACGAAGGTGTTATACCAGCCTTTGACGAGTTGGCCAATTTCTGACGATGACACGCCTCGCAACAATAAACTTAGGATGGGAGGAAAGAGGGATGATCGACTGTTGAAAGAGTGCTGCTCCCGGGGAGAAGGCTTGTCTGTCTATTCGGTCGGCCAGTTGAGGGTGATGGCGAACGAGCCTGACAGGACCGGAAAGTCGAATCGGGCCACTCAGAAGGAGGGAATCAGACAGCGGAATGCTGCAAGAATCAGACGCCGCGACGCACGAGGCAAGGCTTGAAGGACAAAGCTAGCAGCAGGTCGAGGTTGGGGTAGGCGGGCTTGACAAGATAGTAATACTATCAGGCGCACGGAAGGATGAAGGTTGTGTGGGCGGCGGTGGGCCGCAGTGTACATATGTAGAACGGCGGATGCTTCCCATGTAAGTACACTACCGGCAAGGGTCTGGGGTGTGTGTCTCGTCTTCTCCTGGGGGTGTGGTGGGTATGATTGAATCTAAGTAGAGCCGGGGTCTCGACTCGGCCCCTCGGGGTGTGTGGTAGTAGACCAGCCCTTGCGAAGGATAAGATGGACTTCTCTATGTACCAGAACCGCGTCGTCACTAGGTAGTCGTTGAGAGACGACGGAGGAAGAAAGTAGACACGCGCAACGTCGGCCAGGTGAAAGTCTGGTTGATGAGCGATGCGTTACTCAAGACAGGAATGAGAATGCAAATGCAACTTGCCTGTCAGAAGAAAGCGCCCGGCAACGAGACCAATTGTGATAGGCCTAAAAGAATGGTAAAGCCGCAAAGGTGCGACGTCAGGACTCGAGTACAGCACAGTCTTATGCATGAAGCATCATGATATTGGCAGGGAATGAGACAGAGCAGAATGGAGAATGGTTTCCGCGAGGGCAGTAACGAGACCCTTTGCAACCGGCGGGACTTAACAAGAGCAAGAGAGAAAGAAAGAAAAAAAGGGACGAGGCAAATGCCGTAAAACTGAGTTCCAGGCATCTGGGGGATTGATTGTTGACATTGACGAGGTTGCGTATCTTGTGTGATGGTGTGAGTGTTTTCATCAATGAAGACATCATAGTCGGCCTAGAATTCATGTCTAGACCACTGACAACCGCCACGGCTAGGGTATTGAGGAGGAGCTAGAAGAAGCCACTGGCTCAGTTTGTCTCCGTTGCCGCATGGGAAGAAACGACGGACCATATGGAAAACGCTGTCGACGGGAATGGGACAAGCCACACACAGACACTAGTTGGGATGCTGATTTGCTTCCGTCTCGTCTCGTCTCGTCTCGTCCTATAGCGCCTCGTCTAGACCTGGCCTCGCGGCTCGCCTCGACTTTGCTGATGTCTTATTATTCCCCCAACGCTGGCTGGTAGGCGAACGGCTACTAGCCATTCGGGGCAAGAAATGCTTCCCTCTTGAGAGTCGAAACTGGCCATGTCCTTGGCCCCTGGGTTGTGGAGCTGAGTATGTCGGTCTCCTGCGAGATGATGACAGCAGATGGGATGGATGGCCCGATGGTGCGGATTGGGGAGATTCTGTAGGAAAAGCCGAATTTGTATCACCCAGGAAATACAATGGCAGACAAGTTGGAGTCTGGAGCCGACGGATGGGAAGAAAAAAAAGAAAAGGTGGAAAACGAGATGTTACAGAAAACGGTTGCTTGGGTGCTCAATAATCAGGAAAAGCCGAGTCGGGGCAGAGAAACGGAAGAATCGCGCGCCAATTAGCTGACATCAGGACCTGCTTTGCGCTGAGATTACCACCCACACGACACGCACACACACACGTACTAGGTAACATGCTCACTGGAGTCTTCGTACGGAGTAGTGGTCGGAGAAGGGACGAAGGAGACGAGAGGTCTTGATCCAAAGACGGACGGAGCATTTGCACCCTTGACGGGCTATATTTGTGTGAGAGCCTAGAGGAGAGACTGAGGGCGAGATCGGGTTAGTCGGGGACGGGGCCTAAGGTAGGCGAGAAAGGCGCGTTCGTTGCCTTGCTCGCTCGCCGTAGTATTCGTACATGGTGTGACGGGAGGTTCCTCTCCTCTCCCCTTCCCTCTTCTCCCGCGATGAGTACGAAGTATCGGTAGGTACTGGCGAGTGTTGCCCCGACAAGGGGTTAGATTGAACAGAGGGGGATATAGATGAACGGTGCGGCGACTTGCGTGGGGATGTTGCCGGGACAAGGCGTAAGTTGTAACGTTGAGGTATCCGTATTCCGTAGTGCCAGCGATGGCCGGTGGAGGGATCATTCCGATGTGAAAAGTGAGTAGGACGAGACGAGACGAGGCGAAGACGAGACATGTAGAAGCAAATTAAAAAAGGTGTTAAGTCTGGTATTCGTAGACGAAGCCGTCTCTATCTCTAGCTGTTCTCCAGGGTAAGAAAGATAAGCTAAGTAAGTATGCTGAGGTAGCTGCCGGAAGCTGGGCAGTAACGCATTTCCTCACGGTTCCAATATCGACTGAGTGGCTTACCTAAGTACTGTCCAGTGTCAAGGGAACAAGAGTGCTCCGTAAAGTAACCAGAGGAATGGAAGGTACTTGATGGTAATGGATCATAGAACAAGTCGAGGTAACTGACATGTAACGGTACTTGCATTCCTCGCTTCGGTTCCATACCAGTGCCATGTTTCTCGGAGTACTGGTCTTGGATAAGGTGTCTGCCGTGCCTGCCTCAGCACGCAGATGATTCAGTCTTGGTCCTTTGGGCTCTGGAGTAGCCGTGAGGTACGGAGTGGGTAGGTAGACCTCAGACCTGAGATGAACGGGCGGCATGGAAGGAAACGACATGGACGGATACGGACGCCTAAAGGAAAGGAAGGAAACAACGTCGTCCCATCTTGGGCAGTGGACCGGCGGGCAAGCGTTGACTGGTTCACCCGTCCATTCCCTGCTCCACCACAAGCCCTAAGGACGCACGGGGCAGGGATATCTGGGCAGGGGGAGGGAGGAGGAGGGAAGGAACACACTCACTTCAAGGCTTCAAGGGCAGGAGCAACAAGTGCACTGTGATCTCTGTAATCCTTGCTTCCTTCCCACCTCGAGCTGCATCAAGAGACAACCTCCACTGCTCCAGGAAGACTTTCTTAACCTCAAGATGAACCCCACTTTAAGTATCCGACTCCACTTTTTACCGCCATGGTCCGTACCTTCCCCGAATGAACGAGCTTCAAAGTTCAAACAGTGGAGGGCAAGAGATGGACAAAAAGACTTGCTTGACTGGGGACCTGCCTGTCCTGGGCGGAGAGCAAAAAAAAAAAAAAAAAAAAAAAAAAAGGAAGTACTATGTAGGTACGGAGTAGAAATTGGTAAACCACCAAGGTCCCGTCCCGTTCTTACCTTCCCATGATACCCCCGGCCAGCTTATGAGGGGTCGTCTTTTTTGCTTCCAGGTCGGTTGCTTCCCATAGGACCATCGCTGCCCAATGCTCCTTCATTGCGACTCATGAAGCTCCTTGCCTTTACGGATATTTGCCTGGCTTCTTCTCCTCCCAGTTTTTATTTTGTTTTTAACAAGCATCTTCTATGGATACCTTACTCAGACATCGTCGCAGGGCATCGACAACGAGCCAGTCACAGCCTTATTTGCACTTCAAAGACCCTGACTGGATCGGAGCTCCAACTTTCTTACCTTCCCGCTGCCTTAGTCCCTCGGCACGCTACACTTCTATTCGACGGCTCGGCCGTCTGCCTCCACGTCTACAGCCGCTCCCACCAAGCTATCCGTTCGATAGCTACCTGCCAGAAACACATCCACTCAACGGCCTCATCATCTGACACTCCCGCTACGGATCCCCATCCTGATTCCTGACCGACACTTCGTTATAACCTCGACTCGCTATTCCTCCATGGATACGAGTCCAAGAACCTGAACAGCGCCGCGTGAATACTTCACCAAGAGGCGCATTCCGTGCCACATGGATCTCCCATCGCGCCTTGTTCCGACCACGGCCTAGCTCAGAGCTGTATAGATAGTCTTCTCTCTCACCGATACAATGTGCGCCTAACTCGGCACGCCGCACCAAATCTAGTCCCCCCAACTCGCAAACGCCTCGCGGATACATCGCCCCGACCCTACCACGCCGTACACGCCTACTTGGTTGTCTCCGGTCCGTCCAAGCTGTCAAGCGATCGACTGATGCTACGAGAAATGGCCCGCCGGCGACCTGACCCATCCCTGTCTGGCGTTGTCAAGGGGGGGAAGGGGGGCGACCCCGACGTCCCACCCTTCTAGGAGCCGTTCAAAGTACTTCGTACGGATACATGGCGGCCATTGACCATCTGGGGAGGGGGTGTGGTTTGATAGACCTAGAACCTGTTGCGGATATCCGGTCGTTCACTCGTGGACTGCTATCGCCTTTCGAGCAACCCTCAGGTCCTTGTCAGCAAGAATCAAAATAGCGTGCCATTTTGTCAGCCTCGGTCTGTTCAAATCAAGTCAACCGGGCGTTGCCAGCATAAACGTCTGCGGCAGTTTATGGCGATCAATGCATTCGACCACAGGGGCCTCTTCAGTCTGGTCCGATTCTTTCGAACTATTTCCTTCCAAAACCATTTGCGAGCGTTCAAATCCCACCAAAACTCCGACGTCAAACAAGCCAAGGTCTGCCGAACGCTTTGATCTCTAATTTCAAGTTTGATATGCGACGTGAATGGCAGTCTGTCAAGCCTTGCTGCTGCCCGATGTTGAACTAAGACCTACCCGAACCACTCTGACGCACCCGCCACGACATCGCGAAGGCCGTTCCCAATAGCTTTCTGTAAAAGGTACAAGAACTCCTCACGGCGCAGTTCAACACTCATGGAATTGGCATCCACAACCGTCACACTCATCGTGGAGCGTCGTTCAACACCAACGCTCCTCGTTGGACGGACAGGCGATCGCGATGGGCGTCTCCCCTACTTCTTCCAACGCTGAACGTAATGCTCTGTTTTAATCATGGCTTGTTGTATTCGGTTAGATTGTCGGTCCATGCCGTCCATCCTGTGGCCCGTCTCCCATCCAGCTGAGCCTGCCGCGGTCATGCGGTTGGAGATTCGAGTCGATACAGTTTTGATAGATCTGGCTAGCTCATCATGGGACGGACCTTTACACTCATTTTGCAACCAATGGGTCAAGAGCAGGGCATACTCGCCAACACCCGGTCCACTTTTGCGAGGCACTCAACTTCCTTACTCTCTGGATAGCTCCAGCTTCATGGTCACCTTTGGAGCCGTCACAAGACTTGATATGACAGTCAGAAGACAAGCGCAAGCGCTATTTCGGTCTAGGGAACCAAGAGTTGAGGGAGGATTGCCGACCAACGGCAGCGCTCAAATCGTTTTCGGAATTCCCATTGGACATAAATTCCGGATTCATCACCAGTTTCGCACTGGTCATTGGATGGAAAATATTTCTCTCGCATGAGGCGGTCCTAGCAAGGCCATTGAGAGGCCCGGACTGATTCCCAGTTGGTCAGATGGTCGCGTACGAAGACTTGCTCATCCGTGGGTCCATCTTTGAAAGGCTTGCTTAAACGGATGGTCTGGCCAAGCCTCGACGCAAAGGCGCACAAAAGCGAGTACTTCAACGAAGAGTAGAGCATGGCCGGAGGGTACGACCACGATTGGGGCATGATCCAGGTTCGGATCCAGGGTCGAACAGCATCCACCCGCGTTGGCCCGCAACGTGCGCCGTTCTCAATATCAAGCGGGCCCTGCCGACGGTATCCTGGGCCAGGCTGAATTGATACCAAAGCACCCCCGACTCAACCCTCACCCGAAGTAGTATCTGATCGCTCTAACAGTAGCTTCGCATCAGTCATGAGAAGGCTCTCATTTTACGACAACGTTGGGCAATCAACATGCATAATGATGATGGGCGGGCCGGGGAAGAGACTAAACAGGAAAGAAGGCTGATTCGGAGACCCATCTGCTCCATCGTCCCCTTGGCATCTTCCCGCCGCTAGGTAGGGTAAGGGTTTTCCATGAGTTCATGACTGACGCGTCTTAGCCAGGCTGACGAGATCACTATTGAAGCCATGCTAGTATGACTATGTGAGCAGTCTGCCCGCCAACTTTATGTCAGAAGCCTTCGGATACGAGGAAGAATCTCAGGTTCTGGTGCTCGCCTCGTCAGTGGCTGTCAGCCGTGGCTAATCACATTTAGCTGCCCTACGCTTGTCAAGATAGCAGGAATTCACGACCAAGCCATTGTTTCAAGCCATGAGGAGCTCGGGCTTTGGGGACTAAGCCAGACACGAGGACTTGTGTTTGACACAGCGGACGGAATGACCGCATCCACGTTCTCATGTCTCAACTAACATGATGGGCAGGATGCCAGCCGGCCATTGCCCTCCTCGACGACTGCTCCAGCGACTGGTCCTTCGGCAGACTACCCCCGCCCAAGGCTGCATCTGGTCTTCTTGGAATATGCTTACCGTACTACACTACTACGTATGCAGGCGCGGGACGTTCAGTACCAACTCTGCCCTTTGAAGCAGCGTTCTGGGAGGAGATGAGAGCTGCGTCAGTGCTCGGGTGGAGCGCAGCTTGCTTGTTCCCGAGCCCTCCCCAAAACCCGCTGGAACTGACCGGGCTGGTCGACTCATGTCGCCTTGGAGCGAGCAGGGGACCTGGGCAGCACGAGCAACATTGCAGCGCAGCATCCGCCGCCGCCGCCGTCTGTGTTGCCCCTGCGCCTATTTACCCTTCCCTGCAGCCGTTCTCCCGTGGTCTGTGTCCTATCGCCCGCTGTTCGCCTCATCTGTAGTTGATGCAAGGTACGGTACGGATACACTCATCTGCCCGCAAGTAATCTCGAGTCGAACTCGAGACGAAAGGCCAAGATCGCTGGACTACTTTCGACTGCGACCATACTCCGCAATCGACCTTTCCTTGCTTCGCATATCGCGGACTCGGACCCGGGACCCCTCGTCCAGGCTCCTCCCATCATCCTCCGAGGATAAGATGAGATGAGATCACGGCTCGCTGCGAGGGCCACGGCCGACCCACCATTAACTAGCACGTCCCACCAAGAAGTAGCAAACAAAAACCGGGACTTGTGAGAGGAAGAGGAGGTAAAGAGACCACGAGACATGGGCGGTAAAGCAAGCCTCGTGAAAGGCAGGCGGAAGAGGAGGATTCGCATCTGACTGGTGGTGAAGCTCTCCATCCCCACTCTTTTATTTTTCGTTCTACTGAGAGAAACCAGGTCCGTGGCTGCTGTCATTCCGCCGCCGGGCACGTTTCTCGTCGGGGAATTGCAGTGAAGTGCATTGCGCCAGTAGTGCCGAGTCCGTCTCGAGACAAGCGTCAGCAGCAGCGGGATGAGAGGGCAGAAGAAAAGGCGGAGTTATGAAGAGCAGCATGGTAGGAGAACAGAGAAGGGTGTCGTCTTAGCTCTGCTTTAAGCGCCGACGTTGCCCTCGATCCAGGGAGTCCCCCGTCTGGCCCTCCCACACACCCGCCATCCCCCACCCCTCCTCGGCCTGTCACCCCATGCATTGGAGGAGGAGGAGGAGGAGGAAGAAGAGGAAGAAGAAGAAGAAGAGATGTGTGTGTGTGTGTGTGTGTGTGTGTGTGTGTGTGTGTGTCTGCACGGAAGCTGCATAGTCTTATTCACACTACCTATTCCTCTAGTTCCTCTCTCTATGTCTCTTCCTCCACCCACCTCCTCTTCTTTTCCCATTCGCGCGCGGAGCAAAGTGGTGTAAGCTGGCCAAGGGGATACACGCTTGGTACGGACACATGCGTTGAGCCTTCTTGCAGAAAGAGGAATACCTACCGCTACCGCGTATGCAACCCACGCTTCTCCTGGGAAGCATTTGCGGCCGCAGGACAAGAGGCCCTCGGCTATGCAGGTTCGCCCACGATTTGGGCTTTGTGACTTTTTTCTCTTGGGTTGCTGCTGCTGCTACAGCCTGAACTTCAGATGGTGGCGCGTGTGGGGTAGACGAGGCGGGGATGGGGGCACCTTTCCAACGACAGTCTATCTCGGGTCTCTTTTTTTTTCGCCCCCCTCGACGACGACACTTATTGAAGATGACCACGCGAAAGTGGATGAAAGACGATGGTGGTATTGCGCGCGCGGGCGCGCGTCCGCTTGCGAGGCTGGCTAACAAGAAGAAGCCATGCTCCATATCCACACGGATTGGAGACCGACGAGAGCCCTTCCTTTTTTTGGGCGGCACGGCGGGCTTGTCCTGTCAGGCACGCGCCGCCCGGCAGCCAGCTTTTAGTGCCCGACGGCTTCATGGCGAGGACCTAAGAGAACCACGGATACTTGAACTATTATGATGGGGGATGGGATAGGCGGCGAAGCGGGCTTCACTACCGTGGAAGTCTGGGACCCTAACGCGAACTGGACCAGTCCATCCCAATCCAATCCAACCCAAATTCATCACAATGATTCACATACAATGGATGATATACAACGTGTCTTTCCTCGTCAACGGATACCTAACCCCAGATGGGAAAAACCGAATTGAACATCAAAAGATGTAGACGAGCATTGTCTTTGTATCTCTTCTGCCAGAAGAAGCCGTTTCGATTGAAGACAAATCACTTTTTTTGTTGCAAGCCGGAACTCCCACCCCCTTTTTGTCCCTTTCCTTTTCATCTCTCTCTCTCTCTCTCCTCTATACTGCAAAGTAGCATGATATAAACGCTTGCCTGGCCTGGAGGAAACCAACAATGCCCTTGATCCCCGTCATCATCTCCCCCCCCAATCCCTCCCAATCCCCATCGAATCTAGGCGGCAAAAAAAGACACAAAGATAGAGCAGGGAGATACCCTGACGCCGCCATCGAAGGGGACCTCCTCAACTCCCTTCTACCCTCGCCACGAATGTCTGCTTGCGGCAATACATTCCCACATCCCATGCTCGGCAAGAAAAGTAGCGTACCTAGGGAGCAAAACCCACACTTATTCACTCGGTGTCCCACTCAGCCTTGTTCCTTGGGGGAAAAAAAGGAGAGTCGCAACCGAACAGTGCCATTGTGTTTCCCGGCCTTGGCTAAAGCTTACGCGCGTAAGACGCCAGTTGGGTCGGTTCGGTTTCTTTGGTTCCAATGTTCACTTTGAAAGAAGGTAGGGTAGCTTGCATTCTTTTTGAGTTTGCACACGATGCCATGGAATCGGTACTCGAGTGAGATCGCGGCAGATGTGTGACTGGAAGGATGGGGAGAGGGGAGAGATGGCGGAGAAAAGAGGCAAGTGGCTTGTGATATTGTTTTTCCTTTGGCCAAAATGGGGGTTTGCGGACGCGGGAACCCGAAGGCGGATTTGAGTCTGGGGCTGGCTGGGCTGGGCTGGGCTGGGCTTGTTTCTCCTTGGGGCCAGGCAAAGGCATTTGAGGCGGCGCGGGGGAGAAGCATGACGACAAACGGCCGCCATGCGCCGCCGAGTTTTAGCTTGTCGCCGCGTTCGTCAGCGCTTGACGATTGTGACTGCGTAGTAGATGGAGATGTTAGTGCCATTGTTTGCTTTTCCTAACCGAACTTCACTTGACTGCGCGCTTCCTTTCCCCGCCGGCCTCTTTTGAAGTAGCTCGCTGTGGAAAACGAAGGTTTCGAGATAATGATGACGAGGGGAGGGGACTGAGGGTTGTGGGGGGTCTTTGACATGAAGATGAAAACGTACCGATATCCTCGTCGGATAGCTCGTGAGATAGACCGACGCGCTGAGGCTGATGCTTTACGGACTTGCCGTACACAATGGCGGTCTTGAACTGTTCAAGAATACTCCTGTGGATTTGGTTACACTAGACGGAAGGACGAATCGGTTAGCTTAGACAGAGCGAGCAAGAGCAAGAGCAAGCGGCAACGGCGTGCGCTCGACCTCGTCCATTTCCACGCTTCCTTGTCGCGGACCAAAAACAAGGTTCACCCTACGACGCGGGATTTGCTCGGGACGACGCGCAATGTCACGCGAAGGATCAGCTACTCACGAAATCTTCGACCGTGCACCTATTTGAACGGAGCACGACGGGCTGAGAGTAATCTGGGAGTTTGCCCTTTGGCTTCGTATAAACACGGACGAGCTGGAGCTTATCCCACCTGTACGCCAAGGAAAATAAAAAACGTTAGCTCTCTGGTTCTTGTGAGGGCAATTTTAGGAGTAACGGGTTGATCCTTGTCGTGAACGACGATCGTGTCGCTCCGGAAGACGAGAACCGGCCGAAGGTCCGACGCGGCTAACAAGGAAATGAGGCAAGGGGGAGGGAAGAGAAGCAAAGTTTGAAAATCCTTACATTGCCTCCATCAGCTCGTCAATGTTCCAGCCCTGCTCTGAACTGATCGGCACGGCGTTGGGGATACGGTAGAGCAAGTCGAGCTCCTCGATACTGATGGCGTCAATCTTGTTGAGGACGTAGATGACGGGGATGTAGTTTCTGCTCCTCGCCTCGAGGATGTCAATGAGGTCGTC